CCCCTACTCACCACCAAAAGAGACATGCTGTCCCTCTTAGGCCTTTTTAACTATTTTTGCATCTGGATACCAAAATTCTCCCTTGTAGCCAAATTCCTCTATGAAGCTTCCAAAGGAAACCTGTCAGATCTTCTTCCATATCTCTTCTTCCATATCTTCCATATCTTCTAGTCTACAGAATTCTCTTCTCAAATTCTCAACTCTATATTACCAAACCCCAACAAGCCTTTTTTCCTGTCACTACATTCAGAAAATGAATAAGCCTTGGGAGTTCCTTACTAAAAGGCTGAAGATACCCTGCACCCCTTGCATTCTTATCTAAATAAGTAGACTTAGTTTATCAAGGCTGGCCCCAATGCCTTGAAGTTTTAACAACCGCAGTTCTCCCAATCCCTGAGGCAAGAAAATTTGCATTGTTATCAATCCATTATTGTACTTACTATACACTCCCTCCAGGATCTTTTCAGTCATTATTTATTTTTATCTATAATGTCTCACTTCTGTCCTGACATTCTGAACTTTTTGATAAGTCCATTTTCTCAAATAATGGATCAGCATTTACCTGACTCTCCAACTGGTTCATAGATGGAAGCTCCCAGAAACAGTCCCTTTACCTTGCAGGTTATGGTATAATTCAAGGAAAAGCTACAACAGATTTCCCTTTCATTCTCACTCAGATATTAGAGTTATCTCCCTTACCTCCAGGCACCATATCCCAGCAGGCTGAGTTAGTGGCCCTCATCCAAGCTTTATCATTAGCCAGGGATAAATCCAGTCAATGTTTTTACTGATTCCAAATACACATATAATAAATATTATTCATTCTAACATCTTAATCTGGAGGGAGGGGGACTTCCTAACTCAGAAAGAACCCCCAATTCTTTTTTTTTTTTTTTTTTTGATACTGGGAAGTAAACTCAGGGGCACTCAATCACTGAGCCACATCCCCAGCCCTATTTTGTATTTTATTTAAAGACAGGTTCTGAGTTTCTTAGCGCTTCACCATTGCTGAGCCTAGCTTTGAACTCACAAATCCTCCTGCCTCAGCCTCCTGAGCTGCTGGGATTACAGGCATGCACCACCATGCCCAGCAGAACCCCAATTCTTAATGCTAGCTACATAAAAGATTTGCTTGAAGCTGCACTTTGACCCCATTAGGTAGCAATCTTACACTGCAAAGAGAGTCAGACTGATAAAAATTACATTTCTTTAGAGAACCAGGAAGCAGACAGGCTTACTAAGAAAATTGCTCAGTCTAGTTTTATATTCCATGCCTACAAAACTCCAGCTTCCCCCTGATAAAACAAAGCCCTCTTGTCTTATCTCCATAATTTATTCCATCCAAACACGTGTTCTCTCCAAATATTCCTAAAGAAGTCACTAAACCTGTCTCCTTCAGACTTACAATATCTCCAGCAAATTTCCCAATCATGCACAACCTGTCTCAAGGCTAACCCCAACTGCAATGTGAGACCACCTTCATTTCCCACTCACCAAGATAGAGGAGTTCTTCCAGTCATGGACTGGCAACTTGACTTCACACACATGCCACCCTTAAGAAAGACCAAATATCTCCTGGTTTTGGTAGACATCTTTACTAGATGGGTTGAAGCCTTTCCAACTAGCAACAAGAGGGCTTCCACTGTAGCAACCTTACTTTCCAGGGAAAAAAATTCCATGCTTTGGATCCAGAGTTTACTTCCTCCATTACCCAAGAATTGGCTAAAATTTTAAATATAAAATGGAACTTCCACATTCCCTATCATCCACAGTCCTCAGGAAAAGTTGAAAGGACAAATAGGTTTGCCTGAACGAAACCTAAACCACTTGGATTGGATTAGGCTCCTCCCTTTGGCTTTCCTCCAGATGGGAGCAAAGCCCAAGAAGCCCCTAGGACCAGCCCCTTTGAACTTCTCTTAGGGCGACCCACCCCTCATTCAACCTCAATCACCTAGCAATCCTCCAGAAGCCCTGAAACCCCTGTAGGCTCACCTCAGAGCTACCCTCTGGAAGTATGCCCACACCCATCTTCCCCAGCCCCAATCTTCAGGAGCCCTCCCTCCTATTACTGAAGGAGATTTAGTTTACCTTTCCCCTTCCCAAGAAAAGTGGGCAGGCCCCTTCAAGGTCATTTTAACCACTTCCACTGCAGTCAAATTAGTAGGCCTCCCCTCCTAGATCCACCTAAGCAATATAAAACTCATTCCTGCTAGTGCATCTCATCACTCCATTCCCACAGGTCCCACCTGACTTCACATTACCTACTTTCCTGCCATTCCTGAGGAAGTTGCTGAGAGTCACACCTGAAATTCCTACTGTCCCTTTCTCAGGCCTCCTTTCAACTTTTCTTAATAGCCCTCAGAGACAAATTAAATTTATTATACTCAATCCTCCTTCATCTCTCTCCTTCTCAAGCATTAGACCTATTTAAGATCTTTGGCTTCAAGGGACATTCATTGATGAAACCCACAACTCAAATCTCTTTTCTTTTCTGTGTTTTCTGCATTTTGTCTTTAACTTCATAAACAGCCACATCAGACTGGAAACAGAGGAGACAAAAATGGCTGACTTTTAATAATGAAGAAGTTAGAGGAGTTTAGCTGAAGGAATTTCTTCTCTGAACCCTTTTAAATACTTTTCTACACGTGTAACTGGATTACTAGCTATAACTATACTGTTGATTTTATTTCTGTTCTTATTTTGCATAATTTGTTGAGCAGGATGGAGAAGATTAAACACCAGAAAACTATGATTCCATAGTTATTCATGCTTGCTATGCTCTGAAGAACCTATACTCTTGGAATCATGGAGAGTACACCCTAAATCTGAGTAGGGCACATGGTCCCCACTAAGGTCAATAGAGTCCCAACTGTATTACCTGTTGAAATTATTTTCTTGGTAACAGCAAATCAGTTACTCTTCACCTTTCTTATAATCACTTTACTTACAATAATCTTTCCTCTGCCTATTATTACTTTTATATAGGAACGATTTCTTAATAATACATGGGTGGATGCCATTTTCCTGCTCACTTTCTGACTCACTGAGACCACAAAAGGAAACTCCACTTATGATGGCCTCAAGGTCCTCTCCCACTGGGGTCTCCATGCTCTATTCCAGAACACTGAAAGGAGAGATCCCCCAACTTTGCTGCTTCTCAGCTTGAAGCAGCCAGATCCAGATCTGGCGCTCCAATTCCTTTATCCTTTCAGAGTCTGGAATGAAGAATTATGGAAAATAATAATCCTACAAAGCAACTCCCAAGGAAAAGCGGAGAGACTGCTTGGGAGGAAGGAGGGGAAAGTAGCCAAGCATTGACCTTCCAGTAAATCCTTTCCTGGTAACAGTGGGCCCTGAGGGAAGGAGGCAAATACTGAATGTTAGTACTTTGACTTTCCCCCATTGCAAATTAGTCCTAAAAAGACACCCTGTAAATACTGACCAATGGCCCTGAAGGAAGGAGGCAAATATTGAAACTCTGGGAGACAATAAATTCCAGAAAAAGATACCCATCCCTCACAATCTGAACTTCTATCTCTCCAAGTAACAATGAGTTTCTGCCTTTCATAGCTGCCCTCCTGAGTTACAAGTTTTAACCTACATAACTAGCCCCTGACTATCTGAATGGCACACCCACGAGTTACAATGATGAAACCACCCTAATTGCACCCTATAAAACCAAAATTCCCTCTGTAACAGCCGGCCCTTTTTGCATCCAGAAAATGAGTCCCCAAGGCACCCACGAAGAACAATAAATGGCTTCCCTGAATCTGTTGAGGTCTGAACTTGTCATTTTGAGCTTATACTTATGATCCTTTAGGCTCATGCAGTCTCTGTTATGTGATCAATTGATAATGCTGGGAAGACTCCTACATAATAGGTTTATTAAAACATTATATTTCTCTTTGCTTAATCTATTTATTGGTGGGCTAATAAACAGTGTTCAAGGTAATTATCATAAGTGAATGATTTTGTGGTAACTCTAAAGTTTTACAGATTTCTCAGAAATTTGGTAGGAAGAGGCTGGGGGAAAAGAATTTAAGGAGTGACAGAACTGAAAATAGTAAGCAGTCTACCTGTAGACTCTTGATGAGGTGCCTGAAAAATGTTGCTGAGGCTCAAACCCACTTCTGACTCTTATTAAGCACCTTTCTGTGTGTAGCTGGAAGTTTTCACTCCCTAGAGTGTCTGTTAATAAATTGAGGACAAAGACTCTATAACAATGGGCCACCTTGTACCTGTCCTCCTGTATAACACAGCTGAGCATAATAGGTACATAACCAAAATATGTTGAGTCAGTATCATGTGACTTTTCTGTGCCAGTTTATCTTCCACAGTGCTTGCTCAGTTGACTTAAATCATGCCTTTCAAATACAGGTCATTTCAATAATAACTAAGCCAGCACAAGTACCTGCCTCTTCTACACCACTTTCCAGGAGCTTCTAGTTGCCTGCCTTAGAAAACACTTGTTTTTTACTAACAGTCCAACATAAATGCCCCTCTCATTAAAACTTGCTCAGCTTTGTCAACTCTCCAAATTTGCTTCTGTGGTAGATAGGTGTTCGTTCTCACTGTGGGGAATTGGTATTAATCTGTTTGTGTCTGTCTTATATGTTAGGCTGTGAGTTACTGGAAGTTATCTCTTTCACCCTTTACCCAAACCAAGCGCTCAATCACATAAAGTCATAAAGCTTTGATTTGCACATGCTTAAGCAATCGTTTAGCCCGGCATAATTAGTACTGCATTTATAGGGTACATTAATTTTTTTTCACATATTAAATATCTTTGTATTCCTTCATAAGTCTATAATAACTATATGAATAAGATTGCCATTTTAAGCTTACTAGGGAAACTGTCTCAGGAGGTCAAACCCTTTGCTTCAAGGTCGCATAGTATAGATCCTAAGCGCATGGATTTCCGTAGTAAACGCCAGGAGGCTCACCGAAAGACTTTTGGACTCTTTAGGTTCCCGTCGCTGCGGCCTCTCGGCGCAGTCTCCTTCTGCGCCTGCGCACTGCGGAAAAACCGTCCATTTCTCTGTCTACCGGGAAGGACGCAGGTGTGGAGGTGCGTTCGGGTACTGTTTGAGACCCGCATTGCGGTTCTCAAGACTGCCGCCTTTCGCTCTTTGTCTGCCTGGGAGTTGAGTCGTGACTTTGAGCCTCAGCCGCGGTGAAGCCCCGGACTTTTCTCCCACGTCGCCTCTTGCACGCCCCCGTCGTGGTCTTAGGAGGGCGGCGGACAGCGGGGCTGGAAGCGGGCGGCTCCGTGGGAGCGGCGTTGGCGGGGGGTCCTCAGGAAGCCTGTGGGCTTCGGAGTGGGTCGGCCGGGCCCGGGTGCCGCTGCGTTTTCCTCCCGTCAGCGTGACCTTGTTTAGGTCATTTGACCTATCGGGCCCAGTGTTTCACTCGTTAAAGGGGCTGGGGGTTCTTCCCACCGGTCGTGTGGCTGGGGGGTCGACGTAGGGCCGCTGTTTGCTGTGTAGCCTGGTTTGAGGTTAGAGTTGGGCCGTTGAGGAAGGTCACCGTGCGGCCTTTAAGGACCCCCCTCCCCCCAGGTTTCTGGGCTGCGTGGGGAGCACGGGCCCACGAGGCAGCCTCTGCGATCCCGTCTGCGTTTTAGTGGCTTACGGTGTGATTGCAGAACACCCACCTCACTGTTTCATGGAATTGTCTCGAAAAAAAAATTTTAAATGCTGTTAGGAGTATTTGCACGTGTAATTACCACTAGAGCGCCTGCATGTCTTTGTGGTTGGGATAGATTTAGTCGTACTTTTTGCTCAGGGTCTCTCGTTGTGCCACAATGACCACGTTTATTTGGGGTATCTGGACTGTTATGCAGGCTGAGCCACCCAACGTCCTATTGGGCTTTGTGGGAGGAGTCAGTCCACCGTTGACCTTTGTCTAAGGACTAAAATGTATCATGCATGAGAGTTCTTTAGATCTTTGTTGTTGTTGATTTTGTTTTCTTATTTTACCTATGAAGGACCCTAACTGCCATGGCTTCCGGCACTTTGGCGAAACCTCAGATGCGGGGTCTTCTGGCCAAGCGTTTGCGGTTTCATATTGTTGGAGCATTCACGGTTGCCCTGGGGGTTGCAGCTCTCTATAAGGTATGTATATTTGTTTTTTGTTTTGTGTAATATTTCAAGAGTCTTTTAAAAATGAACTCCTCTTTACGGTGCTTGCTCTCTTCCCTTCCCTGCATTTACTTCATTATGACAGGTGGTCATAATCTCCAGATGGTTTGTCCTTCATCTTTAGATGCAGCTGTGTTCTTGCCAGTATTGCCATGACAAAGAATCATGGACATAGTGACTTAAACAACAGAAGTTTATTTTTTCATGGTTCTGAAGATCAGAAATCTGTGGGAAAGGTTGATGTGTTCTGAGGCCTTTCTTCTTGCCTTATTAAATGGCTCTGTTCTCTTTCAATCTTCACATTGTTCTCTGTATGGGCACATGACTGGATAGATTTCCTTTTATGAAGACAACAATCATTGGGTTAGGACTTACCCTAATTTAGACCTTGTTTTTACCACATTAAAGTCCTAATTTCCAAATAGGTTATATTCTGAGGTGTTGCCACTCAGGATTTCAACGCATGAATTTTGGGAGCACACAGTCCCACCCTTAAAGAGGGTAAGTGTACAGAGGGGCAGGAAAGGCAGTAATTCTGTTTGACACCTTGAAGAATTGTCACAGTAACATTTTAATGCTGTGCTTGGTGGATTTTAACATTAAACCTGTGTTTTTATCAAAGGCTGTATGTTATATTTATATAACCATAAATATCCAACTCAGTGCCTCATGCATTCGAGGCAAACGCCCTGCCACTGAGCCACAATCCCAGCCTATAATGCCTTTTTATAAAAATGTTTATGATAATACATATTTATCATTAATTGTCTGTGAGAGAATTCAGAGCTTTTGTAATTCCTCCCACTTATCATTTTTTGTTTAGTGTCTGTAATTTTTTGGCGGGGGGTACTGGGGGTTGAACTCAGGGGCACTTAACCACTGAGCCACTTAACCACTGAGCCACATCCCCAACCCTATTTTGTATTTTATTTAGAGACAGGGTCTCACTGAGTTGCTTAGTACCTCACCATTGCTGAGGCTGGCTTTGAATTTGTGATCCTCCTGTCTCATCCTCCTGAGCCTCTGGGATTACAGGCTTGCACCACCGTGCCTGGCTTAGTGTCTCTAATCGTTACTAGGCTCTGAGCCTTATTGAGGCCAGGTCTGTCATTTATTTACTTTTACTTGGCACCCCAGAGTCAGGAGCCTTACACACAAATAGTTCCTTAAAAGTATCTATTGAATAGGAGCCAGTATCTAAAATTCAGTACAATCGTATGTAACATGGAGTTTCAGGTGCATTGGAGAATCCAAAAAAATAATACAACTAATGCCTCTGTCCTTAAGAACTGAAGAGTTATGGAGAGGTTAAAAACATTTTTTAGAAGCTGTTGCAGGATAGGACATAAGTGAAAGAATGTGGTTTTAGGGCATTCTTTTTTACTTATTTATTTTTTTATGTGGTGCTGAGGATTGAACCTAGTGCCTCGTGTGTTAGGCAAGTGCTCTACAACTGAGCCATAACCCCAGTCCTTATGTGCCATTCTTTATTCAAAGAAGTGGAATTTGAGCCTTGAAAGTTAGGGAAAACTTGGAGAACAAAGAGGAAGGGAAAAACTGAACAAAAACATTAAGTGGATTCTTGCTTTGGCAAGGAGACAAGCCTTTGAGGAGATAAGCCCCAAAAGCAAATCCTTTGCTTGGCCCTTGAGATCCCTGTTGCTTGGCACATAGTGGATACAAAATAAAGTTAGAAATATTAGAAATAAATGTTAGAAAAAGGTATAGATATATATATGAGTAAGAAAGATGGGGGACTTTTTGGCTTTGTCATCATAGTTATGATAAAAGTTCTGATCTTTATTAAAATTCTTTATGTATAGAGTCTTGTTACTTCTAACTGGTAGCCCCTAATGTTTAGTGAATTTTAAAACTTTCAACCTCCAATAGAAATACATGTATTTTTGCATTTTGATTTAGTGAACACATACATACAGGTAGAAAGTTTGTTTGTAGTACATATAACTGGAACAGTTTGCAGCAAAATTGTGTGTGCTGTACTCTTAATATTCACGCTTTCTAAATTGGTTTCAAGTACTATTGATGGGTGGTGGATAACGTGAAATAAACTCATCCAGGGGCTAAAACTAAAACCTACTTTTGATTCTAATACCTTTGCTGTTTTGCCCTTTCTGCCTTTCCATTGTCATTCCCAATCACTTTTAATACATTCCACTTGGAGCCTTTAGACCTATTTGCTGCTTTCTTCCATGGTTATTAACATGCTAGGAATATTTTTTATCTCATTGGCAAATTCCAGTTTGTCTTTCAAGGCCTTATCAGATGCTTCCTTTTGTGGAGCAATGTGTACCCTTTTCCTTTTGAGGTTGGTTGTACTCTCCTGGGTTCTTACTCATTTCATACCAAACACAGTATTTTATGTTAAATTATATTTTCTACCTTTTCTCTGAAGAGCTGGGCTCTTGCCAGACTCATGGTCTGTCTACTGTGATGAAAAGTCAGAAGTGCTTCATAATGAAGCATTTCATTTGTATATAGTTAACTAGTAGGGTTTGTTTAGAAGGAAGGTCTCCAAAACATTGAGGAACTAAAGAATAAGATAGGATCTTTGGTTGTCTTAGTTGCTGTAATAGCCTTCATTTTCCCCTCCCCATTAGTGCTTAGTGCTTTTGAAGACTTGATGTTTTTCATTTTACAGGTTTTGGAATATGTTCACATTTTCAATCAACTTTTCTGTGTGTTACATGGATTGTTATCCAGCAATTAATTTTTGGATAAGTTAGTTGTGCTCTAAAGCTTAATTTATGGATATGAGTTAGATTTTAAGAGATAAATGAACAGCATTTACATCAAAGTGGTATTTCCCCAAGGTTTACTAATTGCTATCATAAATTAGGCTTGTTCTAAATCTTCTTGTATTGATGTAACATATAAGACCTCAGGTATGTATTATTTTATAACTTTATTAAAGTTACTCATGACCTGGAGGATCTAAATTGATAAATTTCATTTCTTTCTGAAGTCCAGATTTTTCAGAGTTAAAAGAAACTTCCCATTTGAAATATTACAGACAAAAAATTTAGATGAGGTTATAATATTATTTTGTTTAATTTCTTAGGTTTACTAACAGCTTATTATTACTTTCTCTCTGCCTTAGTATTCCAAAAAAATTTTAATGAAAAATAATTCTCCTCTAACAAATTGTTTGTGGTTGCCTTGTATAGTATGCTAGGACTCTCCAGAGAAACAGAATCAGTAGGGTGTGTGAGTGTGTATGAAGAGATTATTGTGAGAATTGGCTCGAGAGTTAGGCTGAAAGGACCCACGAGCTGCCATCTACAAGTTGGAGATCCAGGAAAGTTGATAATGTAATCCAGTCCAAGTCTAAAGGACTGAGAAGTAGGGGAGCTAATGGTATACCTCCCAGTCCCAAGTACAAATGCCTTTCGGGCAAGCGGCCTAAGTCCCAGAGTCTGAAGGCCAGGAGCTCTGATGTCCAAAGGTAAAAGAAGATGGATGGGTTAGCTAATTTGCTCTTACTTTTGTTCTATTCAGGCCTTCAGTGGATTGGATGATGCCTGCCATGTTGGTGAGGTTGGATCTTTTCTAGTCCAATCTCTTCCCAAGATACCCTTACAGATACATCTAGAACTAAGTTTTTTTCATCTGTATTTCATATCCCTTAGCCCTGTGTCAAGCTTATGCATAAAATTAAATACCATGTAGAGTGATGGGCCCCAGTAGACTTCATTTGTGTTTCTGTAGTATTTCACTTATGTGGAATGATACTTGAATTTTTTCCTGGTTTTTATATGCAGGCTTAGATTTGAATTTGGATTGTAACCCACACATTGAAATACACTAAGCAGTGTTTTGTGGAGAATAAAATTTTTGCCATAGGTTTGAATCCTGCTCCAGCCCCCTGCCAGTTAGTGCTTCTTCTAGACCTTGATTAGGTCTACATTGCTCTCTTGAATCTTCATTTATTTTTTTCTTTGTTTCTCCCCTTTGTATATAGAAACTACAACATTACAACAACAAAATGAAGACCCCTCCCCCTAATCCTTTTGCTGCAGTTTTAGCAGCATTAAAGCTTTCTTTTTCTCAAAGTGATCAGTGGGCATCATCTTGGGTTCATTCCTTCATTTTAAAATAAGCCAATAAACCAATTCTCACTCTTAAGAGTTTATGTTTTTTTATCAGTACATATTAATTATACAGAATATTATTCCTTGTGGCATATTAGTATAGGTAAAACCCACCTCCCTACTACCTCCCTTATCCTACTTTTTCCCATTTCCCTTCCTCATCTCTAATAGTCTCCTTTCTACTTTCAAAAGCATATGTGTTGAAGTATAAATCATTTAGAAAGTTTCCTGTGCCTTTTAGAGGCTGATGGTTACCAAATCAATTTTAGACTCCTTTGAAATTCATAATGTGGCTTTAACTGAACTAGAAAATTGTGGCACGTCTCAGCATGCAACAAATATTATGGCGATATTTAGGCTTGCTGAAGAGAAGACTGTTTATCTTTTGTCAGACATCTTTTAGCATTTTGGCTGCTATCATCCTCTGGCTCTTACCATTCTGCACTTGTTTCTCACCAAACACACATATAAATCATACATACATAACTTGCCCAGGAAAAGGTACAGTCTAGGAAGGGGGGCCCTTTTTTGCTGTTTAGTTTTCATGAAACTACTTCCTCATTCCTTGCATCTGGGTCACCTCTCCTACTCCTTATCTTATAATTGTAGGGTTCAAATCCCATGAAGTCCCAAATTTTCAATTCTTTGTAGGACATATTGGGTTAAAGAGTGAACACAAATGATATTGTAATTTACTTTAGATATTACTAATAATCCAAATAATACATTAACAGTATGTTAACTTTTTAGTTTGGTGTGGCTGAACCAAGAAAGAAGGCATATGCAGATTTCTACAGAAATTATGATTCCATGAAAGATTTTGAGGAGATGAGGCGGGCTGGAATCTTTCAGAGTGTAAAGTAATTTTGGAATATAAAGGTAATGCCATTTTTTGAAGTCTCTTTTTCAAAAACATTTGAACTGTGGTAAAATGCAAATAAAATTTGCTATCAATCATTTGTAATTGTATAGTTCAGTAATATTTAATTACTGTACATTCACATTATTGTGCAAGCAGTTTCCAGAACTCTATTCTTTTAAAACTGATACTGTCTATCCATTAAACAACTTCCCATCTTTTGCCCTGAGGCCTTGGCAACCACTATTTTACTTTCTAAGAATTTGACCACTTTAGATATTCATATAAGTAGATTCATAGAGTGTTTATCTTTTGTGACTGGCTTATTTTATTTAGCATAATATTCTTGGTGTTTATTTGTGTGTAGGATGTATACTTTTTAAGGCTGAAAAATGTTCCATTGTTTGTATATACATTTTGTTTATCCATTTATCAGTAGACACTTGGGTTGCTTTCAACTTTTGGTTGTTGTGAATAACTACTACAAACATAGGTATTAAAAGTATCTCTTCAGGGTCCTCCTTTCAGTTCTTTTGGGTATGTACTCAGTTTTTAAGAAATTGCCATACTATTATCCACATTTTACATTCTCACCAGCAGTGCACAAATGTTCCAATTTCTCCACATCCTTACCAACACTTGTTAATCTTTTATTTATTTATTTAAAAAAATTTTTTTTTTAGTTATACAGGGACACAATGGCTTTGTTTTTAGTTATTTTTATGTGGTGCTGAGGATTGAACCCAGTGCCTCACATGTGCGAGGCAAGCGCTCAACCACTGAGCCACAACCCTAGCCCTACTCTTTTATTTTTTGGTAGTAATCTTCCTAATGTGGGTGAGATCTCAGTGGTTTTGATATACATTTCCTAATGATTTGCAGTGTTGAACATCATTTCATGTGCTTATCGGTCATTTGTTTATCCTTGTTGGGTATATTGGAGGTTGTAAAAATTCCACATTTTTAAATTCATATTTGAATTTGGTTATTGTTTTGGTTGAGTAGTGGGGGCTCATTATATCAGTTATGTCATTCTGGATATAACTCCTTATTAGATATGATTGATTTGTATATATTTTCTCCTATTTCACAAGTTACCTTTTCACTCTGAGGATTGCATCCTTTGCAGAGGTTTTAAATTTTGATGTCCAATTCATCTTTTTTTCTAAGCATTTTATTGTTTTAGTGCTTACATTTTCGGTCTTTGATTTTTTTTTTTTTTTTAAGGAATTGAACCCATGACCTTGCTACCTCCCAGCCCTCTTTTATCTATTTTGAGTTAATCTTTGTATATGGTGTAAATATATAACTTGTTTAGCATGTGGATGTCCTGTTAAGATTGTCTTCTCCCAATGAATAGTCTTGGCATACTTGTAGAAAATCAGTTGTCTACATATTCAAGGATTTGTTTCTGGGCTCTCTGTTGTATTCCATTGCTCTATGTGCCTGTCTTCATGTCAGTACTACACTGTTTTCATTACTATAGCTTTGTAGTTCATTTTGAAATGAGGAAATGTGAATTCCTCCCCCCCTCTCCCCCCAAGATTGTTTTAGTTATTTAGAGTACTTTGAGAGTCTGACTGAATTTTCGAAGGCTTTTTCTGTTTCTGCCAAAAATGCTGTTGGCATTTTGATTGGGATTGCATTAAATCTGTAGATTGCGTTGGTTAGAACTGTCATCCTTTTTTTTTTTTTTTGGTATGGACATCTTTACAAAGTTTTGCACTCTGTGAGTATGGAATTGTTTTATTTGTATTTTTAGTTTTAAGTCTTTTATGTTTTTGGTAAAGTTTATTCCTGTTTTATTCTTTTTGATGCTATTGTAAATGGGACTATTTTCTTTAAAATGTTCATTGTTAGTGTAGAAAAACAACTGATTATTATATTCAGCAACTTTGCTGATTTTGTTTATTCTAATGAGTTTATTTTTTGTGTGGAATCCTTACTTTTCTATAGACAAGGTCTTGTTACTTTCAGGGATAATTTTCTTCTTTCAATTTTTGGATGTCTTTTCTTTTTGTTGTCTAATTTTTCTGATTAGGATTTCAGTACATATTATATTGAATAGCTTATAAAGGACACATATTTTAGCGTTCATTATTTATGTACCTAGTTTATTGTTTTTATCATTACAAGGTTCTGGATTCTATCAGACTTTTTTCTGCATCTATTAATATACTCATGTAATTTTAAAATCTTTTGTTCTGTTACTATGATGTTTCACATTTATGAATTTGTTTGACCATACCTTGCATTTTGGGAATAAACCTCTTGGCCCTCATGTATAATGCTTTCAATGTGCTATTGAGTGGTTTACTTGTGTTTCATCAGGGGTTTTTGCATCAATATTAGTGCAGTTGGCCTATAATTCTCTTGTTTTTGTCCAGCTTAAGTATTGAAGTATTTTTTTTTTCCTTGGTTTTAGAAGAGGATTGGCATTAAATGTCAAATATTTGATTTTTTTAATTGAGTTACTATATTTTTCAGCTTTTTTGTGATTATTTTTATTTTGTTCATATTGTTTTCCTGATTTTTATTTATCTGTTCTTGTTCTTCAAACTCAATGAACATACTAAGATAATTGTTTTTAAGTTTTTAGTCAGAAGTCAGTGTTTCTTTATGGTTTGTTCTTGGAGATATTGTTTCTTGGGCCATATTTCTCTGTTTCTTTGTGTGCTTTGTAATCTTTTGTGGCAATTTGGGCATTTGAACAAAACAGCTCTCTCTCACTCTGCAGATTTTGACTGCATATGGGAGAAGACTTTCACTAATCATCTCCTGGCATACAGCCTCAGAATCCTTTTCCTGAGAATGTATCTACTCAGGATTCATTTTTTGTTAAGGTTTCTGAATATTCATAATTCTTTTTTTTTTAAAGAGAGAGATTTTTAATATTTATTTCTTAGTTTTCGGAGGACACAACATCTTTATTTTATTTTTATGTGGTGCTGAGGATCGAACCCAGCGCCCCATGCATGCCAGGTGAGCGCACTGCCGCTTGAGCCACATCCCCAGCCCAGTTACTCTTAATTTTCCTAAAAAGTTTCAGTCCTGCTTCCTCTTGGAACCCTAGTTATTCTCTGCCTCTTATAATTTCTTGGCTTCAGTCTGTCTGCAGCTCTCATGCCAAGGCATCCACCATTGCTTTCATTTGTTTCCAACCTGATATTCTGACTGTACCACTATTCCCATCAGTGCTCCAAGTCAGGCAAGACAGAAATCCAGATGAGCCAGCATGTTGTAATAAGCAAGTTGTATTCTTTACCTTCAATCCCAGGGAGGAGCCAGGAATTGGGCAGTTTCCTTCATATAACACTGCATTGCCTGAAGAGGGGTTGGGGCAAAGTCAAGCAAAAATGTCACAAAATTTCCTATTTTGAGGGGTTTTCTTCTTGGTTAGGTGTTCATTTGGTTGCTGCAGCTTAACTTGTGTCTAGAGTTATTGCAAACCTACATATGTTTTATGAGGGGTAGGAGGGGTGTGGTCTGGAGTTTTATAGTCCAATATCTTATTATTGACATAGGAAGTTCCTTTTTATGTTCAAAATCATTTCACATATTTTGTTATTAACTGACAGGTTGGCATTAGGAAAATCATTCCTTTAGAAAGAAGTGACTTTTCAAAAAACAATGGTGTTTTTGCCTTTGTTCTTGTTATTTAAGTACTGAGAATTGAACCCAGGGATGTTCTATTCTAGCCAGCATATATTCATACATATACACATATACTTTTTTTTAGTTGTGAATGGACACAGTATCTTCATTTTATTTATTTTTATGTGGTGCTGAGGATCCATCCCACTGCCTGACCCGTGCTGGTAAATTGCAGAAGCCTGGAATCCTTGTAATCCTCCTGCCTTAGCTTCCCAAATTGCTGGGATTACAGACATGTGCCATTGAGCCTGGCTAGATAGATACCTTTTATAGTTTGTTAGAGTGTCTACAGTTGATATGCTAGTTTTTGAGGGGTAGATTCTGATTTGGTCTGTCATATCCATGTGGTCCTTATATCTCTTGTGTGAATTAAGGTTCTACATCTAAAAGTGAATTGATTGGTGTGCTCATGAAAGATCATTTACTAAATTGATCTGAAAGGATGTATTGTTAAATGTAATTTATACTATGAGCGATTTTTGCCTTATATGACTTAATTCTAGAAATGCAGATAAATGTACTAAGATGTGTAGGGATGAGCTATTGCGAGACTTGGGAAAAAGACTGGAGAAAAAAGATCCACAAAAATATTAATAGACTTATAATTCTTAACATTGCTGTTTTAACTTTGAAATTTTCAAATTTTCCACAGTGGGCATGTATCTCATAATTAGATGATATTAGGCTAATTTTTATATTTGTCAGATTATTATTTTTTTTACCCGAAGGTGATTGTTCTAAAAACCAGTAAGAACGATGATGATTTGGAACAAATGAGTTCTTTTATAACAACAGGTGTAGATATGAGAGGGAATGGGGGAGGGGTTGGACTTGAGAGGGAGGGGGAGAAAGCAGAATTTGTTAAATGAAAGCAAGAAGTAAGTGTAAGATATGTTTTGTCCAAAATGGAAAAGAGGCTAGCTAGTTAAGGTGGTCAGGCAGCTAAGGTGGTCAAGCAGCTTGGTAGGAGAATGAACATAAGAGCTTAGGCAGCCTGAGGTTTCTCCTGGGGTTGAAGGTGAGCAGTGAAAATGTAGGGTCTACTAATAAGGAATAGACCTCAGTTAATCTCAAAAGGTAGTGAGGTAGTGAGTATTAGAGACAATGTTTATTATTAACTATTTTCTTTCTCTCCACAGAATTTCTTTGGATTGAGGTCCTTAGAAGTTTGTACTGACTTGTGCTCCTGAACTATTAAACATGAATATGTGGGCTAAGAAATAGTTTTTCTTGGTAAATAAACAATTAACAAATACTGTATACAATGTTTTGCTCAATTCTTATTGATAATTTGGGGCACAAAAGCATCGTAATTGGTTGGAAACTTTTAGCACTGTTTATGGACCTTATGAAGATATCTTGATTTCGGTATTTCTTGCAATTTTCATTGTTTTATACATTTTTTTAGAGATTTATTTTTTTTAAGGTGGACACAATATTTTTGTGTGGTGCTGCGGATCGAACCCAGTGCCTCACATGTACGAGGCCGAGCTATAACCCCAGCCCCGTTTTTGTACATCTTTAATTGCCCTGATGTTTCTTCTGTTTCACTGAGATACTCCCAGGTGCAGTTACCTGGTCCTGGCCTTGAAAGGGTCTCCAGGAGTCCATAGAAAATTTCTGAATTGTGAACTCTTAAAGGACAGTGATAGTTCTTCCAATAAAATCTGTGTGGGGGCCAAGGTTGTGGCTCAGTGGTAGAGCACTCGCCTAGCATGTCTGAGGCCCTGGGCTTGATCCTCGGCACTACATAAAAATAAAAGATATTTTTTAGTTCTACAACTAAAAAATAAATATTAAAGAATTCTTAGAACTTCCTGTTGTCTTTTGTTGTGATCAAAATGATACTATAGAGCACTTTGATTTATTTATTTTATCCAAAGCTAGTTTAGTGATGAATTATCATTTGAAGATAACAAAAACTGTCTTTTACCCTTTTTAACTCATGCAAAATTGAATCCCAGTGATGTAACCTGTACTAAACTCAGATGGTATTAATGAAAAACTTCATCTTAAAAACTCCTGGTTAAAAATAGATGTTTATATATGGCCTGAAATTCAAGGACACCTTTTATTTTAAACAACTTTACATAACAGTTCTTAGCAGTATGCAAAATTACCATAAAACATACAAGAATTAGTACATATTTACATTCTTAAAAATAGTTACTCTTGGGATTGACAAAACTGTCACTTTCCTAAACAAGTATATATAACAAACTGAGGAGCCATTTTTCATATACAACCTGAATTGTCCATTAACAAACAGTCTTGCTTTCCTTTAACAGTGATGTAGTGGTGACTTGTGCCTACACCTCTGTGAGAGTTCAAAGATCAGTTGGCTTTAAAATTGCATTTTCTTAGAATTTCACAATTGTAGGCAATAAGTTATAGGCCCAAGTTTGAAAGTAATAAGACAAATTTAATTAATTAGACCATGAGAAAGATACTTACTGAACATTTAAGTTATCTGGTAACTCTAGACCCTGAGTCAAACCCAATCTGAGATGCAAAATAATATTTAGCAATATCTTCATGCTTTATCAAATCACTCAGAAAAATAAACTATCTGGACTGATGTCATTGCTAGTATTAATGTTGTGTTCTTGGCTCCCCTTCCAGGACTTCCTAACATGTTATTTGTGGAACTAAAGAAACTCACCTGAGTACTTCAGGTCTGTCATTGGTAAATACAAATGATTTTTAGCTTGTCTATTTAAAACACAAACTGGAAGAACATTTTTCTAAAATGTACCCAGAGTCATAGACTGTTTTGTGAATTTCAGTAAAATGCAGACTTTGGAGGGAATACACGTAGTAGCTTTCACTAAAATAATGTTGCTGTAGTTAAGCAAATTTAACAAGTTAACCAGCAGAGTTCTAAGTTCATTTCACTTAAAGAATCAACCTTTGCAAAAAAGGGGTATTGGGCAGAGGTGGTATCTCAGTCCCCCAAAACAGATGGAATTAGGGATGAAGTTTTAACTCTGGCTCTGCATTCTAAGGCCTAACCATGTATTTTTCTGTAGAGCAGAGCATTAACAGGTCCAAATAATTGTGAAAATTTTAGCAAACGGCATTGTTTTAATCACTGTCTTCAAATGGTAAAGGAACCCCATCCCCATCTTAAAGTATCTAATTTGTTTTTAGGGAGAAAGATGCTAAGATAATTTTAGAAGTTACAATACCTGAACCACCGAAAAGTGTTGGTCTTTTGTCCACAATGAATGTTAGAGCTAATCTCTAGGTTCTCTTTTTTTTTTTTCTTCTTTTTATTCATCATTGATTCCATATCTCTTGGCTAACCTCTAGGTTCTTTGTTTAAAAAATAAACTGCACAAGCAAGAATCATCATCTTAGAAGGGATTCAAGGGAACCCTTTCCTTAGGGCTTTATTCTTCACCATGGTAAATTTACTAATGAAGACCTGACCAAAATGTGGGTCCACCAAATAATGGTATGTTTTAACAGTGGAAAGGGGAGGTTCCACAGCCACCACAGGGGATGGTGTTTGCATGGAAGAGCAGCTGGGGGCCAGGTGACAAGACGTCTTTGTGATATAGTCCACAAGTCTGTTGTATTGTTGCTCTGACAGTCTCTCTCGGATTCCGTCTACCTGTGTTCAAGAATAAAGATTCATTAGTTGTCAGATCTTATTATGAGACTTCCACAACAAAATTATTCTTTTTCCTTGATGCCTTTTAGGTCATCTAATAAAGCTATGTTGTCCAAAGCATTGTTTCCTTTTATTTTGCCTATGAGATGTGGCAATAACACTGTTTCAGCAATATAACAAAAGCTCTGTGTGTGAATATTAAGAGAAACTCTTTGAATAAAGCATCTGGTGTTGCATAAAGTTCCCATGTTTGAAGTTGATGATTTGATAACATTTTACCCATTAAGTATTAAAACATCTGTCATTGCTCTTTAACAAGCAGCCCAGGAACAAAGAAGAAAAAATGTCTCTCTCCCCTGTGCTTAAATTTAATCAACATTAAACGCAGCATCCCGAAATAAAAGCTCTGTTAACTTGGCTCCCTGAACCTCTTAAGATAAAACCTCTTCAGTTTGACAGAAAGTGCAGAAGAGCACCTCGTTCAAACCAGTGGCTCTGGGCAGAGCATTAAAAAAACAAATACCTTTTGAACTGTAACATTTTCTGTTTTTATAAATACTACAGTTTAAAGCCAGAGAAAACAGAAAAGCTGGGCAGAGGAAGGGGAAATTTTTATGGAAAAGAGGGAGGATGCAAAGTACATTTATGGTTCATAAAAGTCTGGCTCATCTTCAGTGGAACTGAAGAGGAGAACTGAGATATGCTGAGTTCTTATGTGAGCTATTCTGAGAAAGTGCCCATCAAAGGCAGCTGGAGCTGCAACAGCTATCTAGTGTGCTGATCAAGCACAGTGGGAAGTTTGCAGTGCAAGCCACTGATCTGAGAATTAAGTAGCTACTGACCTACTGGTTTCTACCTACTGAATGTTGGCAAGACCACACTGGAAGAATTATAAGCAGTTTAATGAGGGCTTTTTTTGTTCTCAGAGTAGTGGTAAATAATTTTATATTTCTGTATAGGACCCAGAAACAACGCAGCTGAAAGTGTCTTAAAAGCTGCAGAAAGCCAGAGAGATGGCAAAGAGAGTCAAGGGGCCTGCCAGAGGAATAAGGACATCCTAGAGTTCGTCTTATAGTTTCATGCTTGAGAAAAAAGAAAGGCTCCCAAAGATTCACTGACAGATGAAAGCTGTGCACCACCAGGCAAAAGCCAGAGCTCCGATGATATCATTTGATGGGGCCAGAATTCAGCTGGAAAGCTTTGAATACACAAAAAAGTCTTAATTGCTCCTCCTGAACAGCAGCACAGGAAAACCCGTGTTGTGAAAGGAACCTGGCCAAGGAATAAATTGACCTTCTGACTCATTTTGAGCCTCTCATAAGGGATTTCAATAATGTGCCAGGCATATTAAGCAATTATTACCCCTAAAAATGGCTGCATTTAACCAAGAAAAGCAAATGCTGATTTTAAAATATCTGAATCCTGCCATATTTGAATATACTGAATGATGTCATCTACAAATTAATTCCTTCCAAAATTCAAAGGAGCTATGATTCCTAGCCTCCAAGGCAAAAGCAATAAACCAGAAAAGCTGTTTTATATGAACAGCTTGAAATACTGCTCTTGATTTTCACTGCAAGACAGCAGGTAGGCTTCCTAACCACGCTCTATACCTGCATTATGTTGAGGGGCACTGACAGGAGTGGGGCATGTCAAAGCAGCACCCCAAAGCCCCTTTCCTCCCCTGTGGAAAATACCTTGATTTACAGTCCTTTTAATGAAGGACTCAGATTAAAGTACTCTGCAGTTGGGTTTTCTCTGGGTGAGTGGGGGAGGCTAGGGTATGGATACAGGATTAAGGGGGTAGTTACTGTCTCTTAGGAGTTGAGGTGGAGAGGTAAGGTGGAATAGATACGAAGAAAGCAGGATGTGGAGACAGGGCATATTGGATATCCACCCTCTGCCCACTGCCAGGTGCTGCTTTTGAGAGCTCTGCATGTCTAATGGCTGTTGTGCAACACTCCTGGTCTCCTCTTTACCTGTCTTCTCTTAGCCATCCCTGGATCCCAATCCTCTTTTATTCCTGCACTCTGAGGGAAAGCCAGTATTGAGCATGGTCTCCGAGCCCCAGTGCTTCCACCTCTAACTCAGTGATTCCATGGTCTCAGCCTTGGCATTTGCTAAGGGTACTGACTCCTGCTATCATCTCCATAACCCCTGAGGGAACAGGTCTGTTCCTCTCCAGCTACAATGAGTCCTCTCAGTATCCTTCACAAACAGAAATGCAAAGGAGAAGGATCACAACTGAAGACAGTTTAACGGCAAAAGATGAATCTCCAGTCTCAGTCGTTTAAGGTCTTCAGCTTTTCCTAGGCCAGCTAAGGAAAAAAGATGGTCACAGATATTAGGGTCTTGGAGGTTTCTTGTTAAGGACTAAGGACTTGAAGATAATGATACTATCCTCTGCCAAATCCTGTAGCTGGATCACTGCTGCTTTATTGTCAACTGGATCAGAAGATTTTTGGCAAATGTTAATAAAGTCAGCCTGGACATCTGACCTCTGTTTATTCCCAGAAAGTCATCAACTCAAAGCAGCAGTATAGCCCTGGTGCCAAGCCCCAGCGTAAAGCCTGACTGATTATGATCCAAGAAACTAGAGAAATCCTAAGAGTTGTTGTGGTTGGCTGCTTTCCATCTTCTCAGATAATTTTTACCCAAACAGTGGTGTGAGGGAGGCAGGCTCCCATGTCAGGAAGAAAATAATGAAAAAAAGCAATCAGGCAAGGCTTGCTGTCCTTTGCTGAGGCCACTCAGTCCTCAGGACCAGTAAGCTACAGCTTGCCACTGATCACCCCATCTTGCCATATGGGAAAAGATTCATTTCTTGGGTCAACAGTTAGGGCTGTGGATTAGGCCATCTCTGGGAGGCAGAGATGCAGAGCAATTTTCCAGTGGGTGCATCTGCTTGCGCTAAGCTGGACTTCAGGAGGCTGCAGCCACTGGTTGGGGCTCACCTCAGCCCTGACACTCAGGATGCCCCACCTGAGCATCTATTCCATATCACCCTATGTGTTCCAGGAACTGTGGGGCCAGGAAGCTGCACCATCCCCAAACCTGTGTTACTTACAGGACAGGAAATGGTTCTATCTTATTCTTGAGAATTAAAGCAGTGGGTAGGAAAGAGATGTATTTATAAAATAAATCTCTGGGGTTGGATGTTGGGGAGGGAGTTGAGGGAGGAACCTTTGGTTGCATCAGCTTGAAGGGGGCCCTGCCCTCATCTTGGTTCCCTCACTTTTGCATCAGTTCTTCCTGTACCCACAGGCCTGCTGGAGCTGCTCGCAGGCTGTGTGTAGACTGGGGCTTCCTTTGTGGGTAGCTGCCAGGAATTGCTGCTGTGTTCCTCACCTTTCCTAGGCCATCCCACTCATTTTGGAGTCCCACCATACTGCACTGTCCTGTCCTGGCATGAGGCACTTGAGCCCTCTGACAATGGAGCAGGAAGGGCCTTGTTCTATTCATTTGGTGCTTCACCCCAGGCTTCCTGGGAAGGCCTCGCATGCATACTGGTGGGGTCTTCCAGTAAACCCCACTCCCCACCTTCACAATCCGTTCTGTCTCACAGCTCTCCAGGTCTCCGGCTGCCCCTCCTGAGACACATAAATGCCTGGGCACCAGTGACTGGCCTGTGTCTCAACCTGCCCAGTAGTGAGCCCATCCCCCATTTTCTGAAGTGTACCTCCACATCACAGGCCATTCTCGGCTGCTTGAGCTGCACAGTGAGCAGGCTGCTTTGCTTGCTGTCCTGTGTGCAGTCTATCTCTGTGACGGGGAAGGCCTGTTGCTGCGTGTCCTCGCTGACACTCACTACGAAGAGTACTTCTGAGGTCAGCAGCAGGCACCCTTCATGTTCCTGGCCTGAACCTCTCACGAGAACCACATCCAAGGCCATGTGGACTTCTGGTCTGCCCAGAGACTGGAGCATTTTCCTGTTTAAAAGAGAGTGAGTGAGGCCCAGAGATGGCTTGGGAAAGGCAGTCACTTGTCAGTGTTCACTGTTTACCAAAGACTTGGGACAATCCTACACAAATCTCCCCAAGGGCAAAGTGCCCTCACCAATCTGATTATTCATGTTAGCTTGAAATGCTAATTGTCAGGTCCCTCTCCTCAGGGAATCTCGGGCCTTCTCACAGGCCCTGGCTTTTCTGCCAATGTCTGCCTCCTCCCTGAGTGGTCAGGGTGGAACAGAATTTTGCCACCAGCCCCAAACCTGGGAACAGCAGCTTTTCCCCGGTCCTCTAGGATGCTCCGCTACTACTGCCCAAGAGGCCAGTGCCCAGAATGACTGCTCTTCTTGGGCTCCCCTGGAAGCATGGCCCATTAGCTCGGGAGCAAGCCAGGAGTTATTAACATACAATGGGGATGTAAAATTGAGCAAGTGTTTCAATAAGTTACCAGACATATTTGACATGGCTGTTTGGAGCCTGGTCAGCATGTAGATCACTTGGCTGATAGCGCTGTTTGGGAAGCTGAGAAAGTCCAGCTCCGTGTAAAATACCTGTGGGGAGAGAAGCAAGGGAGTGTACTGGCTGATTTCTGGAAAACACTTCCATGCTGCAGTGATGTCATCTGCTTAGAACCATCCATAAAACGTTACAGATCCAAAATGATGTCACATCTTGAGAAGCAAGTGTATAGGTAACCATTAGACATTACAGTGTCCTTAACCCTGGCAATCTTACATTAGCTACAAACTGAATATGACTGTGCTACAGTCCAAGCAAGGACTAGCACTTAGAGGAAGCATAACACTCCCGAGAGAAGCTCGTCATGAACAACAGCTGACAGACATGTCATTTACAATTTGTGTTAAAAAAAGTCAAGATTTCTACTTGACCTCCTTGCCTATTATAATACTTCTGTATCTGTGCTATGGCTGGTGAAATAAAAACGCAACACACACATAGATGCATATGAAGGCACATGGTTTGCCTAGATACAGCATTTAAATGCTAAGTGACTTAATCCAGCTGTTAAACACGATTCCATATACATTTATGAGCGCTCTTGGGGCCTCTGGTTTATTACATGCTCTCCCTGGTGCCAGCACCAAATGAGGGCACCCAGCAGCAGCCACACAAGCTTCCAAAGAGGCTCTCCAGAACCAAAGATGGTACAGCATGTGTGCTTTCTGAGGGCTTGTAAATATTTATAAACGAGGCATAGTCATTAGACTAAGAGTTAGTGGTTTGTAAAACCTTCAGTGTGGTAATAAAAGTTTTACAAGAGTGATGGAAACCAAGAGGCCATGTGAAGCCTGCTCCGAGATGCTCTTACATAAGGCTGAGCCCTGGGAAACATGGGAAGGGACAACGGCATTTTCAAAACCAAAAGAATTTATGAAGTACGAGTTGACTTTACTTCACAGGAATCTGCAGCAAAAGGAAGACTTAAAAAAAAAAAAAACCCTAACATATAAGGCCTAAGCATTTGATAAGGGAGAGTTTGACTTTTTCTACTTTCAAGTTGCAGCAATTCTTATTGCCAGCTTTCCTGTGAGGAGTGAGCGTGTCATTCAAGAGAGAGAGAGAGAGAGAGAGAGAGAGGAGAGAAGTGGAGAGGGAGAGGGAGGGCTGGAGCCAAGAGGGCACTGCTCGTGCCTGTGTGGTCTCAGAGGCTCTCCTGGCTGCCTCCCTGGGGCCTCTGTCCCACTCTCTCCCTTTTAGATACTAGTTTTATGCCCTGATGGGGCTGCCCGGCTCAGACCTCCTGAGTGCAGGGTGCCCAAGTACAGTGAGACCCAGGGAGTGAGGGCCAGAGGCAGGCGAGTGCTAGGTGTCTGGCCTTCATGTGGTCTGAGACATTGCTGGATGGCCCTGCTTCGTGACCAGAATGATGACAGCAATCTTAGGTAAAAATGTAATTCCAGTCACATGTTTACTAAAAGTCACTTTCAGGTGCTCTGCTGAGATCGTGGAAAATCAGCACAGAAGGAGAGGCGTGTGTGGAGAGAGGCCCTGGCATGGCCTTTCCAGGTAGAAGTAGTGTCACAGGCTGCAGGGCCCCTGGGGCCAGAGACCGGCTTGTCTGGAAGCAGCAGGATGGCGTCTGCAGGTGAGAGAGCCACCCCAACCCAAAGACCGGCCCAGCCCGGCTCTGTGCAGGTTCCCCACGCCCAGCACTGGCTCTTAGATTTTTTCCTGCCTTATATCCTGCCTTTCCTTCCAGATTCCTCACGGGGGAAATAGTGGTCATTCTTTTCTCCGTTGCAGTGTGTTCTCCATATTGCTCTCGACCTCTAACTGGTTATTTTTCATTAAAATCCTTTTTATTAAGTATACTGTAAAAAAAGATTCTGAGACACAGAATCAAAGAATCTCCTCTGAAATTGCTAATGGAAATTACCAATTGGTGTTCTGGTTTATAATTTTCTTTTCTTTTTCAGCAGTGTAATCCTACTTTGTGTTAATAAGCACAGGGAGGCAAGAAAGGCCGCTACTATTTGTCTACTTTACTTTTCTCTCTTTTCCCATATGAAAGGACAGAGGACCCCAGGGAACCTGGGTGCCATGATGCAAACTCATCAGTAAGTCTCTTACCGTAGCCGGTCTGTGACACGAGCTCAGCAGCTCCTCCAATGGGCTTCGTGAACACCCCCATGATTCCTTTCCCCACACCAGAGATAACACCCTTGGCCTTGTGTCCGGCTGAAGCCTGAGCCTCGGATGTTTTCTGGAAGTTCTGCATCGGCTGATCCACTATACCAGCAATTGCACCTGAAATAACAAAAGCCCCCAGTAAGTACAGAGGCTTAAAATCCTCAGAAAATGAAAAGCTCAGTCTGGCATGTAGTTTTATTTGGATTGAAAATGAATCCCCACCCTCAATATAAAGTTCTTTACATTTATTTACCAATTATGTAAGTACACTTTGGGCTGTTTACATTAGACATTTTTTATCCTCATTGAAACACAATGTGCAGACTGGGTTTGGTCCACAGTGTCAGGATCGATTATTTCCAAGTGCTACCTATGTGTGCTCCCCCAAATAAGACAACACACGTTAACAAGAGCCAACATGAACTCTGGGGGCCGAGCCCCCAGCCATCCAGCTTCTTTCCCATGTTTCCCTGGGACCAGGGAGCCTCAGGGCTGGGGCAGGCATAGGACTGGCCCAGGCACTCAGGTCCCAGGACGTCATGGGAGAAGGGCTGGGGCCTTGGGGTTCTTATCCTCCCCAGTTGGCCTACTGTTACACATTAAACCTCTTCACCCAGAAAAAAAAAAAAAAAGAAGAAGAAGAGCTAACAATTCCTCAGCAGGACAGAAAGCCTGCACAGCCTAGTAAACTTCCACTCAATCAAGAGTGGGGCAAAGCCGGGTGCGGTGGGGCACATCCCAGCGGCTCTGGAGGCTGAGATAGGAGGATATCACGAGTTCAAAGCCAGCCTCAGCCACAGAAAGACCCTGTCTCTAAATAAAAAATACAAAATAGGGCTGGGGATACGGCTCAGTGGTTGAGTGCCCCTGAGTTCAATGTCTGGTACCCCCCCCCCAAAAAAAAAGAGTGGGGCAAGAAAAAAGGGCCAGCCTCATTCTGTGCCTCCACTTTTAATAATGATGATCACTTATCAATAATGCAGTATCATCAATATTATGATTTAATGATTATTTAATAAAAGTAACCATTGGTATGATCATGGTCTCTCCTTATAGCTAACCTGTCTTGAGTGCTTGAGCTTCACCTATATGAGATCATTTAATCCTAAAATCCCTTGAATCAGGCATTGTTTACCTCATTTTCCAGAAGAGGACACTGTGGCACAGAGAGGTTAAGGAGTTTTCCCAAGGTCACACAGCTGTTAAATGGTTAGGCCTGGATTTGAATCCAAGGAGTGTGAGTCACAGTCTCCTCTTAACCACCAAAATTTTCACTTATCCTGTTTATAAAACAGGCTCTTCTCTTCTCCTCTCTGCCAATCTTGGAAAAACTTCCTTCTCTCTTACTTCAACTGAGGTTTGGCTACTTACTTTTCACTTCAGAATAGCTACCAAAACCCTTCTTCACTAATTTGCTCCAACTGCTTCATGACAGGGCCACCATTTCCTTTACTGAGCTTAAAGGTTGTTACAAATGAAAGACATCCACTCGTCTGGATGTGTCTTCTTGCTCCATGGGAACAATGACCAGTCTAGGAAAGGCCTCAGGAGTCCTGACTTTTTTCAGAATGAAGAGGTGGGTTCTCTAACTCAGAAGTAAAAAATTTTTTAGAGTTCTTGATAGAATTTCCTGTTTTCAACTTAAACCTGGTAGGGTTAATGAAAACCCCCACACCCCTGGTAGAAATTTTACATATGTCAAATCCTATCACTCTAAATGTCACCAATTCAGAATCTCTTATAAATAGAGATTTCTAGACTTCAGTTAATGACCTGCTAAGTTCAAGCAATATTTCACTGAACAAAAGGCGGTTTCTTCAGGTCAAAGGTTAAGGATCTGAATGTTCATGGGCTCCAGTCCTTTAGGTCTTGAAAGGGTCATTTAAAATTCTGAATCCACAGACTAAGAATTAACTGAAGTGATAGGTCTGTTTCCCACCCTGAACTAATGCCACCCTAACCCTCTAAAGACATGTCAGGAGGTGACGGGAGCTAGCTGCTACTGGTTGGCCCAGGCCACCCTTGATCTCAGGGCTGAGCGTCCCTCACTTTGTCGGAACTGAGGAATCAGATGCTCCGCTCTCTACCTGTAAGATCCAGGGTCAGTGGCCACACAAGGTCGGGGGTAGAGACCACCAGCCCTGTAATGGAGAGGCAGGGACTTTGGGTCTTCTCCTCAAATCATTCCATGTCAGGTAAAGTGTGCAGCATCAGATTAAAGAATGCAGGTTTCATCATTTCATTATCTGATTTCTCTGAAAGGTTGTGCTTAAGATTACAAAAATGGGCAAATTATTACAAAAACACCAATAGATTAAATTAGTGCCAGATTCCTGGTAGAAATGTCTTTTCTCAAGTGTGGCTTTCATTAGGACTATTAAAATTGGATTGGGGGATACCCAGGCATGTGGTGCACACCTATAATTCCAGTGGCTCAGGAGGCTGGGGCTGAGGCAGGAGGATCGCAGGCTCCAAGTCAGCCTCAGCAACTTAGCAAGGCCCTGTCTCAAAATAAAAAAATAAAAAGGGTTGGGGATGTGGCTTAGTGCTTAAGTATTCTTGGGTTCAATCCCTAGTACCAAAGAATAAATAAATAAACAAATTGGGTTGGGGACAGATGGTTCCCTCATTTACAGTCATTCCCTTTTATGCGCTAGCCCTAACCTATGCAAGGAACCTAGAGCCCTGACCAGCTCTGGTCATCGACACAGGGTGCAAACAGGAGTTGGAGAAGGAGTCATCAGACTGCATGTCCTCAGCTCAGCACCAGAGATGGGAGAAAAGCCACCCATCACACACACTGACACCTCACTGGTCACCAGGTGCTTCTGTCTCTCTATTTAGTCTCTCACTCTGTGCTGATGAGCTGGAGAACAGAGAGACCAAGAGAAGCTAGCAGCCACTCCAGGCCTCTGCAAGCCTGCCTTGAGGGAGGCCACTTCTCTCAGGGCTGAGGCCCTCTTATTAAATCTAATCCAGCTAATTCCTACAACTGGTAAATTATTTACTATCATGTACTTAAACTCTAAGGCTTTAAGTAATGGAAACCGATCTCAAGACTTGTCTGTTGGCAACAGGCCCACGGGCCACATGGAGAGGACTGTGATGTGATGCAGGGGTGAGGAGGGTAGGATGCTCCTAGGTGGGGTGCCGGGGACTCTGAGAGCTGGGCTGGGCTGCAGGGGGAGTGGGGGCTTCTTGGGCACCTTGGCTGTAGGAGGCCCTTCTTTAAGAAGTAAGGAAACTATGAGACTCTCCTTTACTTCCTCTGTGACTGTCCCCAGCATCAGGCAATGATGCTCAGTCACTGATCTATTTTGGTGCCAGCCTTATCACACAGTGTAATCTTATGCTGGGTACTTTTTTGTCACAATAGCAGAAGTACAGGCCTAAACTGGGACACCACTCCATCCACAACTCACCAGACACAGGAGACCCACCATAGCATGGAAAACATCCCAACTCCAGGGCAGTAGTTTTTGATAGAAGAGATATGCAAACTTTGGTCTGTCACCCTGAAATTCCAATCTGTCAACCTGACTGCTGAGGAGAGACTCTGGTGGCTATACATAGCTCCTCCTTGCTCACTGGAGGGAAACTCCAGCTCCACCTGGGAGAGGCCTGTTTTGTTGGGATTCTGAGAGGAGTCCCTGAGAGTGTCTAGGAGATGGAGGGGTGCGGTTGTGGGGGTCCAGAACCATGATGAATCTATCAGGCAGCAGCCTGGCCTGGCCTGGCCTGACCTTTGGTGTTTGTAGAAGGAACAGGTCTGGGAAGGAACACAAAGTGGATGAAGACGTAGAGCTGCCAGCCTTCCACAGTGCAGGCTCCAGGGCAGAGGGTCAAGTGCAGATATTTGGGGAAACGGATTTGTTAAATGTGGGAAAGGCTGATGCCAATCCTACAGGCTACGACAGAGTTCTCTCAAAAGCCGTTGCTTTTGGAAATATTGTCATATTAATAAATTGGGTTGGGGGCAGGTGGTTACTTCATTTACAGTCTTCTCCCATTTCCCTTTCATGGTAGCCCTAACCTGTTCAAGGGACACAGAGCCCTGGCGACCTCTCTCAGACAGCTGGAAGACACTTCTTACTGGGGTTGGGCTACGTGGCTGGTCATGACATCTGGAGATTTCCTTTGATTTCAGGTGACTCACAACCTTCCACAGCATCCCCAGAAAAAACAGAGTCAAGAAATCCCCCAAACCCAGATTCATTAGTGGAAGCCATGTTTCACTTATCCTGGAAATTTTGACTGTTAAGTCTCCCTGTATCCTGGCTGTTTTCAAGCCCAGAGCCCTTCAGGGGAAGGTGGGGTGGCAGAAAAGTCCAGGTTCTTGTCCTTGCTGGAGGGTTTGATCTGGGCGGTCACCTGACTTCATTCATGCCTTGGGCTGTGAAGATCAGTAAGACACTTGAAAAAGTGCTCTGTCAACCATAAAATGTACTTTAAGTACTTTTTTTTTTTTTTTTAAATTGACTGGGTCCTTAAAGTTTCTGTATTACAAAGGAAGGAAATGACCAACTAGAATTTCAATTTCCCTACCAGGAGTTTCATACTACTATATCAGGATAGCTCTAACTTCAATTAGGCATTTAATCCTATCTAGCTATTTTAAACACCATTTCTGGGGATGAATGGAATGGTGACAAATCTATATTTTTCATATATGGAGGCTTGGTTGTTCCTGTTCCTCTCCTCTCCTTCCTCTCACACTAGTAGTTCTAAGACCAGGCATTTGGAGATGAGCCAGAGGTCCTGAGATACACAGACAGAACTCTTGGAGGAGGAAAGAAAGTTGTTTTGGTCAAGCTAGAGACACCCACAATGAACTCTGAGGAGCCCAGAAATGGCAGTAGGGTGTGTGCTGGGCTGGGACCAGAGCTCCCAAGGGCTGGGGCAGGCTAGTATGGGAGTTTATGTCAGCCCCATAACTCACAGGTTTCTGGAAATTACCAGAAATGAGAAAAGACAGCATAAGCTCACGGCCATATCTCCAGCAGCATGGATAAAGACATAGGAGACACAATGACCACAGCAAAGATCAGTATTTTGTGAGCTCTACCCTGTCAGTGAGAGCCAGGTCCAAAGTGACCTTAGTAGGACAAGCTCAGGGGTCCTCAACTAGCTGATCTCTATTTCCAGACATACTTTTAGATAGTGACTGGGGCTTCATTGGGTGCGGAAGAGAGTAGAATCCTTAGGCTAAAGTTGAATCAGGAACACGCTGGAGACGGCCATGCAATGGCCACACCAGACCTCTTCTTCCTGATCATTTGAAAACTCTTGGAAGAGCTTGGCTGGGGGAAGGAAGCTCTTGTGTCCAGGGTAGAGAGCACTAAAGCCTAGAATTCTTAGCATAAAAAGGTCCCCAAGTCCCAAAATAGTGACCTTGAAGCCCTAAGAAAACATCATGGTTCATTCCTCTAGTTTTAGCAACTTAATCCATTGGACTAAATGAAAGCAAGAATGCTCTTGCCATTACTCAAAGGCCTCTTGGCTGGGATACTCATTGAAACCATAACACAACACAAACAGGTGCTGTCTGTCTAGCATGGACCCTGTGTCTGTGGTTACTCCCAGCGATAGCATTACCAGCCCTAGTTTATAAAGCAGAAACCCAGGATTAGAGGTTAAGAACTTAGCTGAGGTCAAGAAGAAAGGACTTGGACACTGAAGCCTTGGGCCCAGAGTCCTGAGGGCTGTGGTCCACACTTATCAGACCAACTTCCTTAAGGGAGACCCACATCCTCTGGGTTGCTGAGTCAAGCAAGAAGATTGTCCTTTACCCAGCCTGTCCCTTGTTGTAGGTTACTAGCTTCCCTGTTTCCTTGCATTATCAAGTGACAGTGTCCTATACCATGGACTGTTATTAATTAAACAATTTCTAGTGACTTAGCCTGTACTTGTAACTTTTTACTACTTCCTCCCTCAGCCTGGGCTGGCTGCATGCAGTGGGGGGGTGGGGGGGCGCTGCAGAGGGAACTGAAGACCAGGGGGAGGATGGAGCCTTTCAAGCCCCTCTTTCCCACCCTGTGCTCTGCACTGCCTTGGTCACTTTGATCTCTGAGAGCCCGCACTCCCTCAGACACGTGGGTGGCAGGTTGCCAAGCTGTACAGTTTTAAATTCTTTTGTAAGCAAATAAACAAAATATACCCTTGAAAATCCTTCAGTGCAAACTTTCAGCTTTACAGCTTCCTTTTTATAGATTTTCCAAAGCAACTTATTTTCAAACATTTGTAATGTTTTGAAACATCCATCGCAATTTTCACCTCTAACTATACCATCTGACTGCTTGAAAAACAATAATTGCTCTGAGTCAGGCAGATCTCAAAAATAAATAAATGAATAAATAAATAAGAGGAAAAGCAGGCTCCTCGCCAAAGTTCACATGACACGTGTAGACTGTGCAAGCGCTGTTCAAACAAAAGCAGGCGCCCATGGTACTTGCTATAGGAGCAGTGAGTGCTTCAGAAGGGCTGTCTGTTACTGTGAAGAGCAAAGGATGATATGTTGCTGTGTTGCGTGGACGCCACTGTGCTCAGGGGGGTCCCACACAATTAACTTTTTGCTTTGGAGCACCACATGGAAGCCCAAGCTACATTTCCTACCAGAAGCAAAGGAAGGCAGAGCACAGGGGTCTGTGTGGGCCAACATCCCTGCCAGGCAGGTCCTGGGAAGGCCTGTCATGACCATGTGATGGCTCTGAAAATGGGGTTCTGTTCTACATGAACACAGAGGCACTGTGGGCACCAGGACAAGTGTATTATCCTTTCTGAGCCTCAGCTTTGGCTACAGAAAGGAGGTGAACTTCACAGCCATCCCCAGGGAGGAGGCAAAGCAGCCAATCTTGGAGAACTGCACTGGATGGGAGTGGCCCAGCCCTTACCGAGCAGGCTGATGCCCAGCCGGGACAGGCCCTGTCGCAGCCCCTCGCCCAGGCTCTCAGGCAGTTGCCGCCGCCACTCCTCCTGCCGGTTGTAGTGCTCCTCATCCAGCGAGAGCCGGTCCATGTTCCGGGCCAGGCTGGTGGCCAGGTTGGTGATGGATGTGAGGGTACCTGAGGGCACAAGAGCACAGGGTTGTCCTCTTTGTCACATGCATACTGGATTCCAGAGCGGAGGCCCTGGAGGTCTGCTGTGGGGGAGTGAGAGGGGCAGTGGCAGCATTTGTGTCCTTCCTGGACATGCCCAGTGGGGAATGACACTGCTTCCTTTCTGGGCCATGTGAAGTATAAGTTTTAAGAAAACGAGGTAAGGATTAACATCTGTCCAGGAGGGCAACGGCACTCTTCAAGGGGGTTGAGTATGACAGGCTAGAGTTTGAGATCCATCCTATCACCTGATTGTCAAGACTTGGCAAAGCAGTTCTGAAGTCCCCGATGAAGCTCCGTTTTGAAGGCTAAAATTTGCCTGCTCTGATGTTAAAGGTTAAGGTTATGTTGCTGTATTTTAGATAGATTACAAAGAAATATTTTCATTTAGGAATGCAATTTATCTCCTCCTCATTACTTCAGTCTTAATAAAGGGAAACACTACAGTTTATCATTTGACATTCTGAGTAAATAGTTACTGTGCCACAGAGAACGCAGGCAATTTTAATATCCCAAATATTAACCCAAAACAAGTGAGAGCAGTGAAGGGAGCTTCACTCTGGTTGTCCTAAGAATGGCGACTTCAGCCTCTTGCTCAAACAGTCCTAACCCCTCTAGCAAGTGTGCATATATCTCAACTAACTAACTGTAGGACAGGCTTCTAGTCTGGAGAAGACATGGCAGATGTCATTTTGCAGCCACATTTTTTCTAGTGATCTGAAAAGAAACACACATACACCAACGAACCAAATAGATTCTGCAGGAGAAAAAGAGTAAAAATACATTTAGTGAGTAAGTTTGCCTCAATTATCGCAGAAGGTCAATTTATCTGGTGTTGGTTGTCATATTTTATAATTAGAACAACAGAGATCACAGTGTCAGAAGAACTCCCCCACCCCACCAGGCTCATCTGGTGAGGGCAGCTCTGTTCCCATGCCTCCCAAAGATCCTGGGCCGGGCAGTGGTCCTCTTCACTGTCCAAGGAACTTGTTCTTATTGCTCTTGCTGTTTTCTTACCCACTACCTCGGGCCCCCGCCGCCCTCAATGGATTTGGATTCTCATATTTCAAGTTCAAATCTTCTTTTGAGGCCTTCTAGAGACTTCCGCAACCTGCCCACTCATGACAGGGTTGTGGCACTGTCTACAGTAAAATGTCTTTTATGGGGAAGAAGGCCTTTGCCCTGTTTTCTCTGCCTCCTGCTGAGAAGAAAAGGGGACTCAGATGGCTCTTGTTAGTTCCCGAGCCACTGCCAACCTGACCAAAATATCATCAAGCAAACTCACGGATAATATGAAAACACTCTCCTCTTTATGGTCAGCAGTCTGGCCTGTGTGCCCAGAAACTACTTGGGCCACAAGATGGCACTGTTTACGTATCATGCTAGAGAAAAGTTGGCTGCTTCGCCTCCAAATCGGCTTCCATGTCAAAATGCATCCATAACCTTAAGAAAGTTATGACAACTGTATCTACATTTTAAAAAAACACGATGAGGCAACACAGTGTAGGATTTCTGATGTTTAGCAGAAATCCTGAACACCTTTAATATTTCTGCATTCATCACACGGAATAACAGTTGAGCCAATCCTTGTTTTCCCAAAGGGAGGTTTAAGATTCTGAAGTTTCTGAAACATTTTCACACACTGCAGGCAAGCAGTGATCTGTTTAAAACCTAAGACATTATATATGAACTTTGTTACAAATCCAGCATTTCACTGCAAGCTAACAAACCAAACAAGCTAGAGGCGATGTGAGCACATTTACACCTTCAACGTGGTCTTCACAAAAGTAGGATAAGGAAGGAATGAGATAAAGGCATTATCACAAGGAACTGAGAGCTACCTTTGGAAATGTGCTTCACGAATGATGTTGTCCCTCGGGAAACTCCACTCACGAAAGCTCCTGGGCCTCGGGTCAGTCCCTCATATGGAAGTCTGAAGAAGTCAGCGATCCCATTCCCCACGCTCCTCACCAAGCTTGCTGGGCTGCCAAGGATCTCCAGAGACCCCACCACCCAGCCTGCAACAGACCAAAGGAAGGGGTTACTGAAACCTCGACTACCGCACTTTCAACATTTGTGAAAAAGTGGCCCATTTTCCCAGCAATTCATTTTTCACACTAGAATTGAGAGTGTAATAAGCTTCTTTGGAGCAAAATATGGGAAATAACTCATTCACTGTGAATTCATAAATGGTGAACTTTCATACTTTATAAATCAAAGTGATCCTCTGGCAGCCTCACAAATGGCTTTAATATGACTTCCTTGCCTGAGCCTCCTGGACTCCCGTAAAAGGGATCCATGTGCAGGGGGCTCCCTCCAGCCGGCCTGCGCTTTGGGCTGCAGGTGCTCCCAGGCAGGGAAGTTCCTCCTGAACTGCAACAGGGTAGGGGGAGAGGCCAGATGCTAAATGGGGTGCTGTAAAGGGGACACAAACTTTTGACAAGGATAGAGGAGTTATTTTTAATTTTTCCCAATCCTACCAAGTTGAGTGCTTCCCTTCAGAGCAGGATTAGAGCCAGACAAACATCTCCCCTTCAACCCCAGCTTTGGTTGTGTAAACATCAGCAACAGGGACATACTGATTAGGTTAGCAAGTGTTCCCAGTTGATGTCCCAGGGGGTAGTTTTGGATCCTGTTACCTACTTAAGCTCAGCCTGGCCATGGCTGCCTCATGGGAATGAGGCTGTGGTGCAGGTCTGGCAGAGACTGACCTTCCCCTTCTGCCTGGGGTGGGGATGCGGGACTCTGAGCCCAGAAAACTACAGGGGCAGGAGTGGGCCAAGGGCCAAGGGGAGGCGGAATCTGAAAGGCAACTTCCTCTAGGAACACATTGCCAGCCCCCCAGGCTGGTGCTGGGCCCCTTTTGTGGGAAGGGTGTGGGATTAAAGAGCCACGTGGGAGCACCCTCCCTCAACAGTAAGCCTTTGGAGGACAGCATTGTGACAGATCCTCAGTTAAGTAACAGGTCTGAGAATATCTGGAAGGTATGAGTGGTGGAAGGCTATTTGTGGACCAGAGGTACATCTCAGTAGTAACTGCTTTGGCCAGAAAAGTGCAGAAAGTACCCAAGGATATTGCTTTTAATTATTTTCGTCCAAAAGCAAACATTGTTGTCCCTTGGTATCCATAAAGGGTTGGTTTTAGGTCCCCCAAAGATAACAAGATGCTCAAGTTTCTTATATAAAATGGCATAATATTCACATGTAACCTGTACACATTATCCTATAAACTTTAAATCATCTCTAGATTACTTATTATACCTAATAATAAATGTAAAAGCTATGTCAAAGAGTCATGCCATATTTTATAGGAAATACTGATGAGGAAAAAGTATATACATGTTCAGTACAAGTACAATTCTTTTTTCAAATACTTTTGATTGGTAGTTGGTTGAATCTGAAGATGCAGAACGTGCAGATACAGAGGGCCCAGCTTATCTTTTGCATAGTTGTTTGGAAATTTGGTCGACAAAGGGAGTCTGTCTGGCTTCCCATGAAATTGAGACTTGGAGGTAGACAGGGACCTCAGGAAATTCTCAAGCCCACATTCTTTCTTTCGAATAGGGTTACTCATTTCAAATTACCATTTACTTATTTTTAAAAACTCTTCAAATGACTCCACAAACTTCCCTAGAAATGAGGTCAGGGTGTTTTTTACCACTGTGGCCAGGAACCTTCTCCTCCAGTCCAGTGGATGAAAGCTGACCCAAGTGAGATACAATGTGCTCGCTCCCAGGCCAGCCCTCGCCCTGCTGGCCCAATCTCTTCAAGACTTCTCTACCTGGCCAGAGGCTTGGCACCTCTGGCCATCTGTCCATATCCTACTCCTTGGATCACTGCTTGCTTTCAGATAATCCATAGATTTTTAGTGACAGAGTTTCCAACAGGCTCTAAAAACTTGGCTCTCTGTATTAGAATTTCTTGTCTTGGTATACAGTGAGATTGGGACAGCAAAAGGATTTTTAGGTGATTACAGAAACTACAAACAGAATGTTCTTGTGAAACCTCATTAAAAACAAAACGAAGAGATCACTTTTAGCACACAAGCTGCAGGGGCCATGGTTACTTGGGGCCACAGGTGGGGTTTCTCCTCCAGCTCATTAACAGATGGGTGCTTCCCGCACCTTGGCATCACCCAGTGACCACACAGAGTCTTACTCCTCCCCTGGCCTCAGATCAGAGCTCAGTAACCTACATGTCTGCTTCTCATGTTAAAAGAAAAGTTGCCTGAAAGGGTATGTTTCTGGAATGGTTTGTAAATATACCCATCTATTAAATTTGAAATGTTAACTGCTTATTTTTAAATGACTTCTTAGCAAGAGGAAAACATTTTCTTCATTGTTGTGCAAGCTCTCAAAACAACAGGTCTGGCAGGGCCTTCTCCCTGATCTTGTCGTTTTCTTTTATAAAGGAGTCTGGATAGCTCTCTTAACTCTAGGACTTTCATTGCAGGAAAATGTAATCTTACCAACATGGCTGGTTACTGGCATCTCACAGTGATAACATGGGCCTTTTATTGCTACAATCTGATACTTCTATGGGAATGCATTAACCAAGTCACATGGTCACAAAGAGGGTAGGAGAGATGTTCTCTCCTTTGTCACTTTCAGAAAGTTAGACTTCTATGTTCTTTCCTGGAGAAGGCTGATGATGCCTACCTGGGATGGTGCTCTGCTTGAATTCCTGGGGCCATGAGGAGACAGACTATCAAATAAACTACTTTAGAGTGAACTTGGCTCAGGAACACAGGCTTTGATGCTGATTACTATAAAGTATTCTGACACCACATGGTTCCCAACACTCAATCTTTGGTGCACAGTACTGCCCATATAAGATTTTTGTACACATATCAAACCACTCCTTGCAGACTTTTCCAGCCAGACTGAAAAGGGAAGCCTTACCTCTCCCACTGAGCCCCTGAGAAACGGCAACCTCTGGCTTACCGGAGGCCACCTGCCTGGCACTAGAGGGTGGTCAGGATGAGCAATGGCCATTCTTCCTTTTTGGAGTTGGGTCTATAGAGGGGCTGAGACACTGACAGCCTTCTCTTTGCAATCCGTCTAGACAGGCAGCATGGCACAGAGCAGGCAGGGGGCTCTTTGTGCATCTTAGCACAGAAATCCTCTGAATTTCTCACCTCCAGGTATTCATGAATAGAAATGAAGAAAACTAATCACCAAGTACTGGATTTCTTTTAGGCCCAGGAGCAGAGGGCCTGGGCTAGTTTTCCTGGCTGCATTAACATGCTAAAAAGGGTTTTGTGACTGCATGTTGCTAAAAAGTTTTTGCTAAATTGAGTTAAATTCTACGTCATATAATAGCAAAAATATTACAGCCATTATTGCTTGAGTGTTCATTAAGTGCCAAGCCAAATGTTGGGTACTTTACATACTTTCATGTGGTCTTCACAAAAATCTTAAAACCCACTACATAGATGAGGACACTGAGACTTGGGGAGGTTCAATAACTTGCCCAAGGCCTTACATCTAAAAGCAGCAGAGTCTAGGTTTGGATGCATATTTAACTGCCCACATGTTCCACCTCTCACTGATTGCTCAACCACTACCCCAGAGCATGTCATTGTCATCACAGACCCTCATCTGCTGTGTCCTTACCTGCTCTAAAGAGGGCACCAGCAGCATAGTGCATTGCCAGGGCATGCACAAGCTGTCTCGCAGTGGTGAAGATGGGTCCTCTTTCAAACACAGAGAAGGAGAGTGGAGTGTGGTCAGAGGCTATGTATAGCTTGAGAGATGCGTGGATGCTGACAAGCAGATTCACTGGCTGGATCACCAGTCTCCGTAACTTCACTGGATTCACCAAAGCCCTGGCGTGTTGTCTCACTTGCAGAGGTAGCACCTGCTTTCCCCCAGAGAGCTGTGGGGGGTGACCAGCCAGCCTGCTGTGAGGAAGGTAAGTATCAAACAAGGTTTTGATGTAGTATACAAATGTGTCTTCCACATATAATCGGGCAGGTTTCAATTCAAAGCTGAACTCGTTGACATCCAGTGGGACACTCTTGCCCTCAGTTAAGGTGACGCGGACCTTGATAAAGCAGTTCTCCTTGTATTCTTCCAGATCTCTGCTGGAGGCAAGGAGACTCTGCCCTTTGGAACACTGAGTAGGTTCTGTTTTTTCTCCCTGGCAGATCAAGACAGCAAAGTGGAAGTTGGACTTGTTATAGAGCTGGTTGTCCAACTGCAGATCCCCACAATACACCTCCACACAGTGAAGCTGAAAGAGAGCGGCAGCAGGCTCCTCCCCCGGAAGAATGCCAGCCACAGGAGCCATGTGCAGAAAAACATTGTCCAGTGTGAGCCTCAGGAGTTCAGATGATGCTCTGTGGTGGGTGAGATCATCCGATACTGCCAGGCTCAACTGGGTGATGAACATTCTAAAGGTAATGGTCTTCTCCAGAGTTCTAGAGGAGAAAGAATAAAGGACATTAGCCCCCTTTTCTTTCTTTCATGTTTCTTTTTAAATGATAGTGTCTTATTAAACAACTCCTGATGGGACATCAGATTCTCATAAGAAACAAACAAGAACTCAACTTTCAGTACATCGTGTCTGGACAGAGCCAGCCACAGTCGAACAGTATTGGGAAATGTTCCCAATGGGATTATTACAAGTTCCTGTCATGTTTCTGTGTGTGTTTCCCTTATCAACACCAGATTTTCCTCCCAAGTCCCTCTAGTTTTTGTGCACTAATTCTCTGTCATGATGATCACAAGGCACAAAGATAAATAACTAAGACCCTTTAAGTTGAAAATGCAAGGCTAGCAGAAGAAAGTTCAACAAGAAGCCTACCTCTAACTGCCCCTGCCAGCGCCCTTCCCCTGCTTGCTTTCTGGAAGGGAACCATTTGTGCTTCTTCTGGAGGGCCCTCCAAGTGCAGCATGACCCTCTGCACTCGCCTGTTCAAGGCCATCACTCCAGTGACACAGCCCTGTCCTACAACATCTTTTCCCTAGATAATAGAAGCTTATCAGTGTGTGGTTAGTTCTCTTCTCTTAGAAAACACCTCTACCACTCACTTTTATGACCCCTTTTATACAAAGACTCCAAAGCGTTTCCTATATGCATTCTTTCCTATTCCTCTCCTTGCTTTCTCTCTAAAGCTTCCTACAGGTAGGCTTTTGTCCCCACCAATCGGACAGAACAACTCTTGTCAAGGCTTCCAGTGACCTCCATTTGGCTAAAGCAAATGATAGACTTTCAGTTGTGTGCTTATGCAAGTTGCTAATGGTATGTGACATTGTTGGTAACTCCCTCCTCCTAGACACACTTTCTTTGCATATATTTTCTCAGATCTTCTCCTTCTCTGTTTACTCCTCCTCAGTCAGCTGTGCAAATCTTTTCCCAGTTCTTTTAAAGTGATGGCGCTCAGCTCACAATCCTCTTCTCTTCCCCACCTCCGCTGACCTCCTTGGGGAGTTTATGACTAATCTCATGACTTGAAATACCACTCATATGCTGCTGCCAAGAGCTCCTCCTGAAACTCCAATCCTGTATATTTAATAGCCTATCCATATAGTGGTTTAGATGGCTGAATGATATTCAACTTGCCCTATCTGTAATCAAATTCCTGATCTTATCCCTCAACCTACATACAGTTTTTCCCATCTTAGTCAATGGTAACCACATCCTACCAGCTGTTCAGACCAAAACGTTTCGAGACATCCTGTATATTATGGCTTGGATCTGGAATCTTGCCCCCAAATTGGTCCCCAGTATGGCAAACACTTTTGGGCAAATAAACATTATAATATTGTTTGAAATACTATAAAATGGAACTTTTAGGCAATGATTGGATCCTTAGGGCTTTGACACCATCAGTGGATTAATCCATTTGGTGGATTAGTAATTTAAATGTACTAACTAGGAGGTAATAAAATACTATAGACAGGTAGGGCCTATAAACCTACAAACAAGTTATATTTATTTTCTGTACCTCCCCATTCTAAACCTATGAGAATATAATCTCAAATGCAGGGGTTTTGGTCTTTTTATTAATTGATGATCCTTAACCCTAGAACAGCAACTGTCATCCAGAAGGCACTTAAAAATATTTGTTGAATAAATGAATCAAGTAAGTGTAAGTAGTTAATTGGACTGTTTTTATTTCTACCACCAAATATATAGGTTGTAGTTATTGTTATTAATATTTATGCTGTAAATAAAATGTCTCTAAAATTGCTGTGTAGGTTTGAAATGTGGGCTATACAATTAAAAATTCTTTTTAAAAACACTTTTGGGCAAATAAACATTCTAATATTGTTTGAAATACTATAAATTCAAATCAGCAGCATCCAAACGAATGAGTTCTTAGCCATCATGAGAAGTGCAGAACTTTTTTTTATAAAAAAGGGCTTTAAATGAAAGTGTGCAAGTTAACGTTATTACTTTACATTCTAATTTAAATTAATCTTATGATGATAAAATAAATAAATGCTATTACAGAAAGTTAAAATACAGAATTTATTAAATAACTTACAACCCCACATACATTAACAATTTTGATTATTTCTTTTTCTTTCAGTCTTATTTCAATTTTTATTTTATATATCTATATACAAATATGAAAATATGTGTATATACATAATATATGTATGTGTCTATATGTACAGATAACACATAACCAGGATATTTATCTCTTTAATATTATGTTTAGCCTGCTTCACTTTTGGTTATATTATATATATATTATAATATATATTTTGATTATATTATGTATATATATATTATATATAACCAAAAGTAAAGCATTATCTAGTTCATTAAAATTCTATAACACTTATTTTTTGTGATGTACCATTTGTGGTACATTTATGTATCATCTATTTCCCTACTGATGGACATTTGTACCCTGAATATTTTGCCATTATATTTAGCAATATAATAAACAACTCTCTGTTTATCTTTCCCTACTTCTTTATTTCCTTAACACTTAAAAGTGCAATTTTTAAGACAAAGGCATTTTAAAACTCAATATATATTGCTAAAGTGCTTTCCAGGAAATGGCACCAATTTACATTTCCTCCAGACTTATGGATTATCATTGGATCACCATTGTTAATTTGATAAATAATATCTTATTTAAGCTTCTATTCCTTTGATTACTTATATTTCCTCCTCTCAGATTTAGATTTTCTGTTCATATCTTTGGCCTTTAATTAAGTTTTTGAAAGAAGGGGTTATCTTTGTATTATTCCTCTTGAAGTATATGAGTTCTTTGACTTATTTTTAAAATTTTTGGGATATTATATGGCTTGGAATCAAACCAAGGGGTGCTCAACCAGTAAGCACATTCTCAGGCCTCCCCCACACCCTTTAAAATTTTTTTTTATTTACAGACAGGGTCTTGCTAAGTTACTAAAGACCTTGCTAAGTTGCTGAGGCTAGCTTTAAACTCACGATCCTCCTGCCTCCTGGGATTACAGGCATGTGCCACCATACCTCAATTGAGTTCTTTTAAATTAGGATATCAATCCTTTGCCTATTTCATGTTTTTAAAACCTGATGGCAACACTCAGGTCAAAACTGTGGCTCTAAGAGGTATATTTATTTATTTACTTGTGTGTGTTTTAAATGGATATCCTAAACACATTGAAAGAGAAAAAAGAAACAAACTGAAATAACTCTTGAATATATTATTTTACAAACATACCTTTACTCTAATGGTTAAAAAACTAGAAGAGGGGGCTGGGGTTGTGGCTCAGTGGTAGAGCACTCATCTAGCATGTGCGAGCCCCTGGGTTTGATCCTCAGTACCAATAAAAATAAACAAATGAAATAAAGGTATTGTGTCCAACTAAAAATAAATATTAAAAAAAAAAACAACTAGAAGAGGGCAATATTGAACCTTATAACTGTATGGTTGTTCTTACTATTTTTTTTTTAATTTTAATTTGTGGTATATTTACATTTGATGTAGCTCTACTTGCTAAGGCTGATTACTAAGCCGTCATGTGAACATAGAAACGTTAACTTATATTTCACACTAACAATAATGGTATAATTCTGAGACACATGTCTCAGTTTGTAAATTAGTTTGTTATACTTATCACAGAAGAACTGGAAGGAGGACCCAAGAATGATATTGCTACCTATTATAGAGGCTGAGTGGTAATTACTATCTCTAACTTATAGATTACACAAAAATTAATCCAAAGTTTTCAGAGTATATGGGGATGAGAAAGAATGGTTAAATAACAGATTTACAACTTTATAAAGGGAAAGCTTACTGTTCTATTACTAGGAAAATTATGAGGTCTACCTGTTGGTGTTGGTTAAAATAGATCCTGCTTTTCCTTCTGGGGCCACAGTGATGAAGACTGTGCTACACTGATGGAAAACATCCACATACACATAGCCAAAGCCAGTGAGGAACACAACCTGCAAAAAAGAATATTCAGAATCTGATTAAAAAGAAGTAAGAACACTACTGAAATGGCTGACTTCAAATGTCTCAAATTCTGATTCAATACCACAAACACTTCCTGGTTATATTTTTTATATTCATGTGTACAGGCAATTCAGCTGACTTAAAATGAAAACAAAAATCAATTCCAGATTTTTCAATATCCAGCTGTAAGGATCACAGAAAAAAAAAAATGACGGATGATGGGGCATGAGTGTCTTCATTCTCTGCTTCTTTGGATTTGGCAAATAACCCTGTATGAGCTGGAGTGCAGCCATGGGGCCAGCTTTGTGAACACATATGAATCTCTTTGGAAAAAACCCTGAGACTCTGGACTTGAAATGCAATGTGCAAAACATTTTCAGGCACGTGAGTGTTCACTTACTACTACAGGAGTGAGTGCCCACCTTCCTTGCTGGGCACAAACAGCATCCCTTAAGACACCAACAAGACAATTCATAACCCTGCCCCCTGAAGTACTCAAATAACTTGTAGAAAGAATTTTAGATAAGTCAATTTGTTTAGAGTCAAAATTAATTTTTCTATCATGAGAAGGTGGACCTAAAAAAAGTTCTATCTCAGAAGCCAGGTACCAGGCCAGCAGAACTGATGTCCTTTCAGCATTAAATACCAATGTTGCCTAAATGGATAAATATTTGAAAACAGAACAGCACTATGTGAAAAACAACTCCAAGGACATCATGTTCACAGCCAGTATTACCTGAGGGTTGGGGCAAGAACTTCTTTGTGCTTGGGAATGTTGGTTCTGATGATTTGCAATACCAATTTAGTTCAAGACTAGGCCATTTATGAATGTTAGGACAGCAAATAAAGGAAGAAAGACTGACAATTCCTGGATGAAGGAACAAAGCTAGTGCTTGCTTGACAAGTAATGAACCTAGTCTAATTCTGCACACATGAAGCAATACTGGAGAGAGTATACACAAGACCACAGACTTACACTTGGAAGCAGAAACTTAGTATGCTCTTTACCTATTTGATTCTTGAGAATTCTGTATTCTAGTTACCATATCTCTTGCCCTAAGACATAATTCTTTGCTATCTTGCTTTCTTACCTCTTTATGAATTTAAGAGAGTGTATAAGGAAAAATTATACCCTTAATCTGATTCCATTTGTCAGTTTAACATTAAAATTTTTAACAGTGAGTGTGATGTTTGGAAGCAACTTCAGGGTGACTGGGCTTCTTTCTTGACTCCCTCAGAAATCCTGCCCATATTCAGCATCCAGGGGACCTGGATGTCATGTGGAGAGCCATCCTCACGCGTGACTGGGCGACTCCTGGTTTGGGTCTGAGGCTTCTGGCTGTGTCGGAACTTTCCCGGCCCTCTCCTGATGAGAGAACCCGTCCGTGTGGGGGTGTGACTGACCACTGACCCCGGGGGCCCAATCACTGACCCTGACCTTGGAGTGCGCCCCCCCCCTCAACCTTCATTGGATGGAATTCTCCCCTGAATTTCTTGTTCCCCAATAAAAGGCTACTCCCTGGCGTGCTCACTTTCTCTCTCTCCTGCTAGCCCTGAGTAATCCTTGCTGCCCTACAGATGGTTTGAGGTTGGAGCCAGAGAGGGGAGCCGTCTCGGACCTGGTCATAGAAAAAGGTAACTGAGTCTATGTGTTTTATTTCGATCTCTGCTAGCTAACTTTTATGCCAAGAACCTCATTAATGAAACCAATGCGCAGGCCGCATGGTGGAATTGGCGCCCAACGTGGGGCTGTGAGCAAATATTTTCTATCAGACTCTGTACAAAAGGCGAATTTGGACCATATGTCTCACATTCACTTTTTAGTTCCTTAATGGTTTTAAATGGGATTACAGCATGAACTCTAACTCTCTGATCTTGCTCATTAACTTGCTCAAAAACTGGAAAAAGTTGAAAACCGCTAGTATCCTCCCCATCTTCCTGTGCTTTCTTAATACCTCGCTGGAATGGGGTAAGAAAAGTCATTGTTAATCCAGCGTACCTGTTAAATTTTGTCCTTTTAGCAGGTATTGGCCGAATTCGAATAGCCTGGGCAGGCGGTGTTAAACGCAGCCTGTTAAGATTTCTCTGTAAGTCCTGAATTTCAACGTCTGATTCTTCTCCCTCAGACTGCGATTCATGGTCAGACTCTGCGCTGTCGCCATTTTGAAATTGGGCTTCTAAGCCATGTGGCTGAGAAGAACTCTGTGCCCCTCTAGGAATCTCTTCTGGATTCTCCTCTCCAGGAAGATCCTCTACCTCTTCCGGAGGGCTTTCTAGGATTTTGGAGGTTTCTTCTCTATGATATTCGTCCCTATAATCTCCCTGTGGGCTAGCCTGGTCTTGCAAGTTTAAGGTCACATTCCTAACTTTTGGTTTGGCCCCTAGCGTCTTTGTTTTTAAATGGCTTAAGGGAAAGGGAATTAACTTAGCCTCAGGCGGATTTTCCATTTGAATAGACTTAATCGCCCTCTGCATGCCTTTTAACAGGTCTTCAGGGGGCCACAAACTTTGGCCCATATACTCAAAAAGACAAACTTCTAGAGCTGTCCAAGTTTTCTGAATACTTTCTATGCCTCCAGGTAGTTCATTAGAAAGATAAACCTTTTGTAACTTTCTTCCTAATTTCTCCCAAGTAGATAAATTTGGAGACTCTTGTTCACAAAACCAAGGACAATATTCACCTACAATCTTTAAGAATTGTAATAACTGAGCTTTCTTTATCTGTTTTCCTTTCTGATTAATTATACTGTCTAAAATAGTCAGATACATTTCCTTATCCGTAGAAGTTGAATTTCCCATTTTAATTAATTTAACGTCTCTTTCCTTCAATATCTCCAGGTACTTTTGTGACTCTAAATTGTCACCACTTCCTTTATCTTATCTTTATAGCGCGCTCCCACTCAATCTAGCTAATCTAGAATGCCCCCCTTGTGGGCGCCAATTCCACCATGCGGCCTGTGCATTGGTTTCATTAATGAGGTTCTTGGCATAAAAGTTAGCTAGCAGAGATCGAAATAAAACACACAGACTCAGTTACCTTTTTCTATGACCAGGTCCGAGACGGCTCCCCTCTCTGGCTCCAACCTCGAACCACCCGTAGGGCAGCAAGGATTACTCAGGGCTAGCAGGAGAGAGAGAGAGAGCGAGCACGCCAGGAAGTAGCCTTTTATTGGGGAACAAGAAATTCAGGGGAGAATTCCATCCAATGAAGGTTGAGGGGGGGCCGCACTCCAAGGTCAGGGTCAGTGATTGGGCCCCCGGGGTCAGTGGTCAGTCACACCCCCACACGGACGGGTTTTCTCATCAGGAGAGGGCCGGGAAAGTTCTGACACAGCCAGAAGCCTCAGACACAAACCGGGAGTCGCCCAGTCACGCGTGAGGATGGCTCTCCACAATGTCATTTCTGCCTCTTCCTTTTATTCCTCCCCTACAGCCCAGGTGTTATCAGATCTTCCAGCTCTGCCAGGCTACTGTTCTAACGTAAACCTTGTCTGCCATTCATCATTCCTGGTGCCTAGAATATGCTTTCCCCCATACAAGTCCTGTGTATCTTTCACATGCAGTTTAAAGAATTCCTATTCCATGAAGCACTTCTTTAATCTTTCTATTCCCTTCCTCAGTTTGACACCTGTACCTAAGTCTAAAAGCACTTAAACCATATTTATACTTGATCATGAATTTTATTGTTTGAATATTAGTTACTTGTTTTGTGTACCTGACTCAATCACTACATTATAAACTTCTTACAGCAAAATGAGTCAATTTGTTGTATCTATATTCTCCATAGACACATTTTCCAAATGCATTGTTTTCCAAAAATACCTGTTTTAAAATATTCTGTATCCTGAATTTCCTCTATTTGTTCTAGGTAAGAAATGAACTTGACTATGATAAAACTTGAAATTAAAATGGCTCAGCTCATGAATCTAAAACAAAATGGATACTCTTTGAGAAACATTCCTAATTATATAGTCATCCTTTTTAACATCATCTTCAGGCATTTAGAGTCATCTTCAGGTATTATGAAATGAGAACATGTACTGTTCTAAGATAATAAAGACAAGGCAAGTTGATGAATTCTGTTAACTGCTAGAGAGATTCAAAAGCAAGCAAATTAGCTTAAGCTTTTAAGGTATTTCTTTCTTCTGGCCAAAAACCTGGACTCTGGAGAGAGATTTTGCTGGGTGTTCCTTGTCCCCACAATGAAAATGGATGAAACAAACTTGAATCCATGGCTTCTCTCCTTGTCTCCTTTCCCATGTGGAGCAACAACTCACAACTTGAAGCCTTTTCATAGTGCAGCTGTAGTGATTAGGAAACTAGGTACCTAAGAGAAATTAGGCATATGTACCCTGACTCCGGAAATGTAAAGGAACTCTTTGCTTTGGTTTGATGGTTTGGTTATTCAATCATTTCACTTATTCCCTGACAAACACCTAAACAGTACCTACAAAGAATCAGTTACCAGAAAAGTCATATGCTTAGGTTGCTCAAGCCTAGGTGGCAAAAAAGCCAAGTGCATAGATAAGAAGATGAGAACTGCCAGCTCCAGGGCAGAGGTGCCTGCGGTGCTTCCTCCTCTTAGGCACTGATCATATGTGCTCCACAAAAGCAATAGTTTTATGTCCCTTTTCTTCAGTGCTTATACCAATGCCTGGTCCTTGGATGATTTGACTGGATATCTCTGAAGGTGGTTCCTGAGTTATGACTTCTAGTGGCCACCCATGTCCAGTTCCCTCCTCTTAAAGCCACAAAGCTGAATTGTACTCCCTGCCCTTGCTGTTTGGTTTGGCCATGTGACTAGTTTGGCCATTGTGCTAAAAGTAGCATTGTGCGTAGAAGAACGATCTGTCTCCTGCTGCTGCAAAGACTGAATAAAGATCAGTGAGAGGCCACTACCTATTACTGAAAATAGAGTTTCACTGGACAGAACTATGCTCAATTTGTTTATATACTGCTTCTATTTAATAAAAGAGCCGAGAAGTTGCAG